TGATGCGGAGCTCGAACCCATGAACCAAACTGTGAGATCATGATCCGAGCCAAAGTCGACACTTCTGAGCCACTGAGCCACCCTAGAGCACTAACTCTTTTATGTGGCTAGGAAAGCACTGTTCAGTAGTGAGCTCTCCAACTGGAGGTTCTGTTGCCCAATTGGAGGGGATTGGGGAATGTATGGGGCACATTAAGTTGTCACAATACCTGAAGTCTGCTACTGACGTTTACTGCCTGGAAACCAGGAACAGTCACTTCCCACTCGACAGAGAAGTGTCCAATTCAAAATGCCAGCTGTGCTTTGTGTGGAAACACTGATTTAGTGGAGTGTAGCTGGTATTAATCAAGATTTTTAGTTGCAAGCAAGAGAACCAACTCTCACCGGTTTAAGTGGAAAAGGAACTTTATAGTAAAAGATACTCGATAGCTCACAGAATCCCCAGAAGGTCCAGAGAATTGGGCTGGGTGGCCAAGCAGCAGGAAAAATGCTCCATTACAGCGCCAGCTGCTCCAGGGGAACCCTGTGGCCGCTACCCTGTGCCACCGTGTACTACCTTCACAGGGTGGGGGGCCCCCCAGATAGCACCTGTGCCACTACTATTTCTGCAGGCAGGATATCTCTCCAACGTTCTCACCAGAATGGATGGATTCCATGCCGAGTCACCCTCTTGCTTGGTGGAGCCCAGGTCACATGTCTGAATCCCAGTGACAAAGAAGGCTGAGAAGGTGAGTTTCTGGCCTCCATCTCAGGGCCTCTACTCTGGGGAAACAGGGCTCACAAGGTAGGAAGTTCCCCCAAATTAGGAAGGTGTTCAGAAGGTGCTGGGAAGTCGCTAGGTGTGACAAATATCCATGAAATCATCAAAAGCCCTAATCACACACCCCTCCAGAGAGATATTTCTCAAGCATGAACTTGACAAAAATAGCTTCCAAATTTGCCTTCCAGAGTCTTAAAAAGATATACTTAGTTTCTCCGCACTGTTACATATTCCTTCTATTTTTCTACCTCAATTACCATATCAGATATTTTTTGGATTGGTGCATACATATCACTTTTGTTTCCTTTCTCAGCACTGTCACTCCTGTCCAGCTATAAGACTTATTCTTTGTTCTCTCACCGCTTACAGCTTTACATATCCCACATGAGCATTTACAAAAAAAAAGTTTTTTCAATTATGGATAGGATACCATATATGTGGTTTAAAAATAAACAAAGAAAGGACATGCACTTTGATTCAAAGACATAATCATGGCAACTTTGTGCCCACATGGTTTTCGGCAGGAAATGTGGGGAGTAATCTGAAGAGTTGTGCCAATTTGTGCTATTTGTTACTTAAGAACAAGAGGCCTAGCTACTGGGTGGATCAGTCAGTTAAGCGTCTGACTTCAGCTCAGGTCATGATCTTGTGGTTCGTGGGTTCGAGCCCCGCATCGGACTCTGTGCTGACAGCTAGCTCAGCCTGGAGCTGCTTCAGATTCTGTGTCTCCCTCTCTCTTGGTTCCTCCCCCGCTCATGCTCTGCCTCTCTTTCTCTCAAAAATAAATAATAAAAAAAAATATTAAAAAAAAAAGAGCCCCATCTGTCATATAGCTGCTTAAGTTGACAGGACTGCAAGCAGATGGGTCAGAGAATGCTGTAGAACACATAAATATACAGGGTAGTGTCACAGGACAGTGGTTTTTCAGAAATAACTTGAATCACTAAAGAGAAAGTAACATAAGCTTCCTAGAAAGCATGAATTGATTTCTCAGTTGTATTATTCATATCTTTGATGCTATAACAGAACTTAACGATCTTCCAATAAGTGACTAATAACTGAATACATAGAGGAATAACTACATTTACATTGTAAGATAAGCCCAATATGCTTCAATTTATCAGTAGCACTTAATAGATGCTAATAAGTAGTCTTGAGTGTATTACACTAGTGATGAGTATAGCACCTTCCTTCAGCTCTCAAATTGCCTTTTTATTCCTGGAACAGTGATCCAGGGGGAAAAGTGCTGTAGCTAGTATCAGAATTTTAAATTCACTGAGTCAAAGTTAATTTCTCTAGTATTCATTTTCACTGTGAATGAAATAATCCAAAGCTTTGTCTTGTTTGCATGTGTGCTACCATCAAATTTATGCAGGAACTTGGGAACTTTTTTTTTTTTAAGTACACTGGGTCTATTTATTTTTTATGTGGATTCTCTTTACATGGGAAAAATTGGAAATCAAAAGTGTATCTAAAACTTGTTCAAAGATAACATTATAGAAGAGTTTGAACATGATGGAAACAATGGATGACAATAGATTTTCCATTAGGTTTATGTTTGGAGATTCTATAGGCTTGTTGTCTTTACTTATATAATGAAATAAATCTTAATTTGTTAACATAATATGGTAGCTGGCTTATGCATCTGTGATTAAGTACAGAAATGTAAGTCATAGGCCTGAAATGATGTCTAGAATATAAAGTTAAAACTGCTTTATTTACCTCCTTAGGAGAACATCCAGCTGCTAGAATTCCTGGGTGGAGACATATTTGGGATTTTGGAGTGAAAAGTTTGAATCTTACGTAAGCTTTCTACATAAAACTAATATATAGTTACTCTAGACTGAGAAAGAGATTAATACAATAATATGATTCTATAAATAGGACCACATTCAAAGCTGACAGAATCTTGTCCTGCTGTTGAAAATAGTTACTTTTGGGGGCACCTGGGTGGCTCAGTAGGTTAAGTGTCTGATTCTTAATTTTGGCTCAAGTCATAATCTCATGGTTCATGGGATTGAGCCCTGAGTCGGGCTCTGTGCTGACAGCATGGAGCTTGCTTGGGATTCTCACCCTCTTTCTCTGCCCCTCCCCCACTCGCACGCATGCACGTGCTGTTTCTCTCTCAAAATAAATATTAAAAATGTTATTTTTTAACATCCCTCAAAATATTCATATACAATCTGCTATTCTTCCAGTGATTGTAAAATGTTAGAATTTTGTTATAAAAGTAAGTGTGTACCATTGCAGTTTCCCTACTTTAAGTTGAGAACCAACATAAATGGAACAGAATGTAATGCTAAGCATCTTATTAACAATGGATACACTGAGAGTTGCCCAGTCACAATGGCCTCACACATGGGTGGCCTGCTGAGACAGTGGTACCTACCAGCATGAGCAGCACTGTGGGACAGTCACAGAGTCTAGGATCCCTGGAAGTCACCTGGCCAAACTGTGTTCAATTCTAAATCAGCAACAGAGGCTCAGAAAAGTGAGCCGGTTTGCTTGAGATTGCTTCTCAGTGGGGGAAGGTCTAGGAGCCAAAAGCTACCTCCTGGGCCAAACTGAGACTCTTTCACCAACCATGCAACCTCCCTGTCAGAACACACGGCTACAGAACACATAATACCATTTTAGGTCAACATATTGTGGTGATAAGACCCAGCGAGGGATTATTCTATGAGTCTGATCAGTGGGGGAAAGGTCTTTTGAGTATTTCAGATCCCAAATTGAGATTTTTGCCAATTCTTATTTGGTTTTTAGAATGGAATCATGTAGAAAATATGTTTTATTGTATATTTTCCATTATCTTTGTAAACCCGATTAAATGAAGATCTCACTGATAAGGATTAGGACCGTTAATCCCTAAATTAACTATCTGGGTTATCTCCCCCCCACCCACCCAGTTCCATCACATCAGCTGACAGCTCTCATGTACATTCATACCACATCAGGGCTACAAGGGAGCTGGCTAAGTCAAAAGAAAGTGACCCCCTTTGTTACCCATCCTTAACTTGTGAAATGTATTGTACTTGGTAGAGAGAGGAAGTATTCCATTGCGGAGAGACTATGGCTTTGAAGTAGAAGACCCAAGTCTAAATTTAGCCCTGCCTTTTATTAGCTTTATAAATAGCCATTTAGCTTTATAGCCATCTAACCATTTACAGCTCCAATTTCCTAGTTTCCTTAAAGGACTTTTAAAAAAATGTTTATTTTTGAGAGAGAGAAAGAGAGACTGAGCACAAGTGGGGGAGGGGTAGAGAGAGAGGGAGACACAGAATCCAAAGCAGGCTCCAGGTTCTGAGATGTCAGCACAAAGCCTGAAGTAGGGCTCAAACCCAAGGGCCACAAGATCATAACCTGAGCAGAAGTTGGACACTTTACAGACTGAGCCACCCAGGCGCCCGGAGTTTCCTAGTTTCCTAATCTGTAAAACAGTCCTAGTAACTTCCTAGGAGGGTCACCAAAGGGAAGAAGTGTAACAGCGTGCCCCAATCACCTGGCACATGGGTATCTAACCAATGGAAGCAATGATTATTAACTAAAGTAAGACCTGGAACCCCAGACTGCAAAAAAGACACTATTTGAGCCTTTCAGGATGTTTGGAAAGATTGGAACAGCTCCTTGAGAATAAAGATATTTATGGAAATAGGCTGAGAAGAACTATTTCTCCTGAAATACTGTTACCCTAGATTAATGGAACAGTGAAAATAGCTCTGGAATGTTGAGATGGAGCCCTTGGGTGTACTTTGGGACAAGTTCCCTAATAGCAATGGCCTTGGATAAGGCACTCAGCCTCCTTGAGTCTGTCTCTTCATTTGAAAAACAAGGTAAGTCCCAAAATATCTTTGCTTCCTATCTTAAAGATTTATTTAAGGAAAGTCCTCCACCCCACCAAGGGATTTCATGGTAAGCAGCTCCCTGTCTTTGCATCTGGAAGGTTCTGCTCCTTTCATCTTCACTCCTGCTGTCACTTCACTGACACATAATTAGCAGTTGGTGAGATGCTATTTAGATTTTCTCTGGTTCTGTTGTTAATTCTCTGTGAGGCTGACTGATTTGAGTTGATTTAAAAATCTAAAGCTGAAGGTCCTCTGACAACAGTGCTATCTTAGCATGAAGGATGAGGACATAGATAAAGGTGAAAAAACACTAAAACAGAGCTCCTGTTTATGACTTCGTTCTACTGACACAGATCCAACAACCTCCAAGAATGAGAAAAAAAAAGGGAGGAGAGGCAACAAGGGAAAACAATACATTTATTAAGAGGCATGAAAATGCATAAACTCATTTATAAATAAATGTAGAATTTACCCCGTGAAAAAATAGCTAAAATCCATGAGTAAGCTGGATTTTGTATTTGAAATGATTACATATTTGATCTCCAATAATTTCCTCTCCAACATGATCTCTTAGTAGCAGCCACTTGACACTGACTATAGAAAAAGCTGTTACCAATGATTATCATATGGGGGGAAATTTTTCAAGAAATTTCTTTAAAAATGAACCAGTGCAAACAAATTCAGATTGTAAGGGATACAGTAAGACCTACGGCTTATCTTCAGAAAAGTAGAAAATAAAAATCCCAAACATTTATTCATTAAGAAATGAAAAAGCAAACTACACTTTGATCATTGAAAAATAATACATATGGATATTATAAAACATTCTTAACCAGTAATTGTAATAATTACACTTATAAATGTTCATTCAAGTACTAATGTTCAATAAACATTCAAATTCCCATTAAAAGTAACACGAGATACAGACGTGTGAACAATACTACTTCTGATTTAATGACAACAAAAATCACATCAACAGAAGGCAAGTGATCTTTAAAATACTGTATTTTTTGTATGTAAATGATTTTTCACAGTCTGTATATTTTATCTGTGAGAACCCAAGAAACATCTCACAACAGCTAATTAAGAAGTCCTTTCTATAAATTAACTCTTGATATTACAGAAACATACTAGACCCCAAGGTGAGCTTAAGACAAAACAGGGCAGAATCCATTTTCTTTGGCAGGAAATTGTTCATTCCTTACCAAATGTTGGTTTGCTGTTGTGTGGACCCTATTAGAACACTCCTTTGGTATTTACCAAAGACCTAAGAAATCATCCGAAAAGGTTTCATTAACTATGGTACCGTGATAACAATGTAGCGCTTACGTCAAAGTTGCACCGAAACCAACCTGGTTTCCTTGATTACTGTTAATAGATCTTCCTTCAAAAAGCTCCTTCCTAATCCTGGCCTGAGTCTCAGGCTTTAACAAAAGTTCCTTTATCTGTTTCACTTTGGACTTCAGACCCATCCTTTCTCGACGCAAAGCTTCATTAATTAAGTCCCGGAATCCAATAGGTTTCTTGCCTATGGGAAAAAAAATTATATAATACATTTTACATACAAATGCCAATGAAAAACATTAAATATGGCACACTGACTTATCAAAAGAAGGTTAAAAGAAACCTTTAAAATGCTGCCCACATGTTATAGAAAAGTTTGCATTTTGCCAAAAATATATAATTTGCATGAAACGAATTTACGGTTAAATAAAAATCAGTGCATAGCCATAGCCGACATAGGACAAATGTGAGACATTATGGACTGACAGTGTGGAAAACAATTTCAACACTAGTTATTTTAAACTTAGCACTTATTAGCTGTGTGTGTGTGTGTTTTGGCCTCAGTTAAAGTGGTCAAATGCCCTGCTAAGCAATATAAATGGCAGTATTCCATTTATGACAAGGCCCCGTCCAAGGCCTTTACTTTGAGTCCATGAGGCATAACCCAAAGTCTCCTCTCCCTCAGCCTTGGCTGAGGGCAAGTGAAACTCGGGCCATTCTTTCATAAATGGATTTCCTCTGCTAGCCCCGGAACTCCATTCTCTTCTGTTGTGCTTCCGAAATGCAAACACATTGATCACGAAAGTATTAGGCAATCTCCACAGTTTGGACAAGAGACACTTAAACAGCACAATGCAAAGTAGTCCGTTGACTCAGCAGAGGGGAGCCGGATGCTTCTCACGGAGCAGCGGGGGGGCCTGCCTGCATTGGGGTCTCATTTCCTGTTGTTGTCACTGTCAGTGCCATTCCTATCAGCCTCTTGAGTTTTCACAGAGCTCCCATCCCCTGGCTTGCTTTTGTTCTGTGTTTCTTCCAGATACTGCTGGACAGCCTTGAGCACCGCGTTCTCCACCAGCCTCTTACTGAGCCTTACCAGTTCAGCATCATCAGGCTCACCTCCATTCTTATCACCTACATTCCACAATAGAGAAGAGAGGTCACTGAGGTCATATTGCCATAGAAACTTGGCATGCAGGGGCCGGCTAGTTCAGTTAGCTAAAAAGAGCAAGTGTCCTTCAATCTGGTAAACTGGATCTGTAAATCCAAGAACACTGGTGTGGCTTTTCATTAGGTATTTGCAGAAACAGGAGACTGCCTAGGCCTGGGAGACGTCAGGTTGAAAAGTAGTTCATTAACCCCACTCCAAGAATATTCCACCTTGCAATGCTGGGACCTTCCTACATCTACATGGAATTTTTGTTCTTCTCTCATCCATGGCTATTTGGTACTATTAAAGCCCATGCGCCCACCACCTGGAGACTGGAACATGTGCATTCACCAACTAGATCTGCGTCTGCTTTTCCTTCGCCGCTGCTAAATGTCAGGTGTTCAAGGTTTCCCAATCAAATAACTAAGGAGGGTCACTAATTGTTTAAATGTTCAGCTCATGGATTGGTTGTTATAAAACTCGCAGCAACCCCATAAAGACAAAGGCAGTTACTACCACTAGGAACTGGTTTAAAATAAGCTTGTAAACTTAATATTCTATGTAATCTCAGTGCTATCAGTGCAATTTCAGAAATAAGAAACTCTTCAAGAGTTAGGATGATGATAGTAAATTACTAGATGTTAATATTTTATAGCCATTTTATTTCCCTGCTACTGATGATCAAGGTTTAATTATTCTACCTTTCATTTTACCTTAAAAGGGCTGGTTCTCATCTATTCCCATGCTATACATTTCCCACTCACTCTTCCATGTCTCCATTAATAGGGGAAAAAGAGCAAGGACCTCATCTCTCATGCCCATTCATTCTCTCATCTCCTTCCACCGAGCTGTGGACCCAAGAAGGCACATGACTAGAGGCAAAGACAATGGAGCACTTAAATATGGTAAACAAATAGTACCAGGTCTCAAGTGAGTGACGGACAGCAATACAGTTAATAGTAGGGAACTTCAGTATTCCACTTTCCACAATGAATAGATCATCCAGATAGAAAAACAGAAAGGAAGCATTGGATTTGAACTATATTTTGGACCAAATGGACCTAACAGACACATACAGAACATCCAGCAGTAATCAAAACAGTATGGTATTACCATAAAAGCAGACACATAGACCAACTGAACAGAATCTAGAGCCCACAAATAAGCTCATGTATATATGCTCAACTAATATTTGACAATGGAGCCAAGAAAACAGAATGGGGAAAGGACAGCCTCTTCGATAAATGGTGCTGGGAAAGCTGGACATCAACATGCAAAAGAATAAAATTGGACCCCTATCTTGCACACACTCACAAAAATTAACTCAAAATGGAATGAGGACATAAACATAAGACATGAAACCAAAAAACTTCGAGAAGAAACCAGAGGAAAAAAGTTCCTTGACATTGGTCTTGGCAATGATTTTTTTTTTTTTTTTTTGGGAGATGATACCAAAGAACAAACAATAAAAGTAAAAATCAGCAAGTGAGACCATAACAAACTAAAAAAGTCTTCCACACAGCAAAAGAAACAAACAACAAAATGAAAGGGCAATCTACAGAATGGGAAAATATTTGCAAGTCACATATTTGATAAAGGTTTAATATTCAAAATATATAAGAAACTCCTGTAACTCGATAGCAAAAACAAAGAATCCAATTTAAAAATGGGAAGAGGACCTGAATAGACATTTTTTCCAAATAAGACATATGATAATGTTTAACAAGTACATAAAAATGTGCTCAATGTCACTAATCATCAGAGATATGAAAATCAAAACCATAGTGAGATACCACCCCACACCTGTTAAAATGATTGTTATCCAAAAAACAAGAGACAACAAATGCTGGCAAGGATGTAGAGAAAAGGGAACCCTTGAGCACTGTTGATGGGAATGTAAACTGGTGTAGCCACTGTGGAAAACAGTATGGAGGTTCCTCAGAAATTTAAAATTGTAGTTACCATATGATCCAGCAATACCACTTCTAGGTATATTTGAAGAAAATTAAATCACAATCTCAGATATCTGTACTTTCATGTTCATTACAATATATTTCACAATAGTCAAGACATGAACACAACCCAAGTGTACAATGATGAATGGATAAAGGAAATGTGGTATTTATATAAAAAGAAATAGTATTCAACCATAAAAAGATGGCAGTCCTGCCATTTGTGACAATATGATGGAGCGTGAGGGCATTGTGCTAAATGAAAGAAGGCAGAGAAAGAAATACTATGTGATCTCATCTACCTGTCAAATCTAAAAACACTGAACTCAAAAAAACAGAGACTAGAATGGTGGCTGCCAGGGACCAAGCAGGGGCAGAAAAATGAGGAATCCTGGTCAAAAACGTATAGTTACAAGATGAATAAGTTCTGAGGATCTAATGGAAGCACAGTAACTACAGTTACCAAGTTACAGTTATCATTTACATGAACAGTTGCTGTGGAAGGAGAACTTTAATGTTCTCACTACAACAAGATATAATTAGGTAAATGTAAAGGATGTGTTAACTAACGTCTCTGTGGCAAATATTTTGCAATGAATATGTATATCAAATCATCACATTCTATACCTTAAACTTACACAATATTATATGTCAATTATATCTCAACAAGCTGGGAAAGAAAAAGAAGTAACTAGCATGCTCACTACATTAAGGTCAACTCATTTTTTGGAATGTCACTCCTGGCCTCCAGGAGGCAAGAGCCCCGTGTTACACTTGCATCCGTAGGTCTGGGACAGGTAGATACTGAGGGTGTGAGCTGGAAGATGGATATGGTTTTCTATGCTTACATGTAATAGGGAATGAAATACAAAAGCACATATGCTAAGGGAGAGAACTGGCCTCCAGCCCTCCTTCTGAGCCCCACTTCCATGAACACATGTCCAGGACCAACTTTGCTTATAACCATCATTCCTAGCACCTCCAAGCAGATGAGAGATAGGTTAAAGACCCATCTAGATTTGCTACCATTGGAAGGCCTTCCAATTGCTTTCCCCTCAAAAGTGGCAATTTGGCACCCTAGACCCATGATCAAAAGTTCTAGATAGAACCTTTGAAATGCAAAACATACTTAGAATTGAGTAAACTTCAACTCTATGATATCTACATAGAAGGTAATTCAACATAAACGTCAGGATATTATTATTAAAAGAAGGGTAAAGAAATTAATTACTAATTCCACATTTGGGGGCAATTTAAAACTATTTTTACTAGTAAGAACGAATGAGTATATTGTGTAATACTCAAAGGATTTTAGCTTAATCTTACAAGACAATGTTTGTAAACCTGATACCTCCGAAGGTATTACCTATCTGGAACTATTTGTATAATGGCTCTTCAAACTTAAAAGGGAAAATCAGACACTGCAAATGAAGGGACACTTTTTAAGTACCCCCAAAACACTGGGAATGATGGCAGCTGTCACCCTACTTGTGCTCTGCGCCCAGGCCAGAGGCTGCATTCCTCCGGGCTGTTCCTTACTCTGGTCAGCTTTCAGATACCATCAGTTATCACATCACTGATACTCACCCATTGCATTTGATCCTAATTACTACTCACTCTCTAAAATGCCTCCGGTCATATAATCTGTGTTTCTGAGATTTCTTCCTGCCTATGAAGTGCTCTTGTTACTTCAAACACTCAGAGATTTAAAACACAAAAACTTCCCCACAGAAAGTTAATTTTCCCTTCTGACTTTCCCATTTCTGATTATGCTTTTATTATTATCCAAGTCAACCTAGCTCAAAACAAGACCGGCGCTGTCACTGATTCCTGCATTTCCCTCATCAACCCATCTACTCGCCAAGCTCCATTAATGTGCTTTTCACATTTTGTCCTCTCCTCAATGCATCTGGTATAACACCTCTAGATTAATATTTCTAAAATGTCCCTTTTAGTCACATTGTCTCTACAGGAAAGTGTAAACTAGTCTTCCTAAGCTTTCTAAAATTTTCCTTTGGTGATCACCCACCACTGCTGGGCTTCTGCTGTCAGCTTCCAACATCCCCTCAAGGACCTCCACATCATCCTCTACTTCTAGATGGCCCTTCTTTTCTCTAGTTAAAATCCCACTACTCCATGAAGCCT